GTTCCTTCACCAGTTGTGTGAGGAAGTTGTCAGAGCATAACTGCGTGCCCACCTCATCCCTGCCCACCCCATGCCTCTGCGCCTGCACCCTGTGATGCTCCCACCCGCGGTCTGAAGGCGCTGTGCCATGCAGGGACCTCGCCTCACCAGGGTGCCACGGGGTGTTCCTCCTGTTGCCAGCAATCCCCGAGCTGCTGTGGAGGTGGCCCTGCTTTCCAGTTCAGAGGATGAAAACTAGGTGGTGACCCTCTCTTGCTTACACAGCTCTAAGGAGAGGAAAGCAGCCAGGCTTGGCTGGAGTTCGGCACAGTGCAGTGTCACTCAGCAGGCGCTGTCATGGCGGGTGACGCCGAAGCTGCTGGACTGCGGTATTACACGGGGCGCTGCGTGGATTAGCACGTTGGGGGCAGGAGCAACTTGACCCAAGAAATTTTTTCTTTAATTTGTTACCAATGAACACAAACTTTTGATCACGGACTCCTTTATTGAGAAAAAGCGAACAGAAAGAATTAAACATTTAGGGAAACATCCTTCCTCCCCTTGCCTTCTTGAGGCTCTGTCTGGACCGAGCGCTTCTCCCTCCTTCCTGCTCCCCTCCGTGCCGCCGCAATTCGCATTCGGTCCCTCCCACTGTCGCCAGTGGGGGTGGGGGGTGCGTAACAGCTTCTCCTTCCCGCTCCTCGCTGCTTACTCATTTTCCTCGGTCTCAGCATGGGTTGTTGACGGCCGCAGTCCTCTCCAGTGTCCCGGCTCCAGCGTGGCGCATCTCACGCCTGCAGCCTTGGCAGGACCGAACGACTCTCAGCCCTCACACCCGCCGCTCTACCCTCCCTCTCAGCGGCGCGGCCCCTCTCCCTGACAGCGGCCGCTCGCTCGCGCCGCTGCGGGTGTTGGAGGCTGCTGATTGGCTGTCTTGGGGTTTGCGGCGCTGCTGATTGGCTGGCTGGGGCGGTGGCGGGCGAGGGGCTGCTGGTGGCGGAGTAGAGCCGGGTCATGGCAGGTTCCTCGCCGCGCAGCTTGCGAGTGGTGCTCAGGCTCCGCCCGGTGCGCCCTTACCATTTATTCTTTCGTCAAGTTTCAGTAATGTGTCGAGATTCCTCCCGGAGATAAACTCAGGCGCTATAAATAATAGGTCAGCAATGGTGTTTAGGTTAAAACATGGTTTGTCTTCTGTGAGGAATAAGAGAGTTTTGGGGGTTTTTTTTTTGCTTGTTTTGTTTTTGAAGCTGTCGGGATGCACCTGTTGGTACTCTCTATTTCCAATTCTTTTGTGGTTTATGCATAGAAGATATTAATTATTGATCCCTCACTATGTTCTTTCAAATCTAACTAGAAGATTGTGTGAGACTGAGAAGAGGGATGGTAGCTCGTCACCTGTGGAAACCCCACGTTAAGCTGCTGGATCTTTTTGGTGAGGCTGGGAAAGCTCTTGTGTCACACTGGGCAAATGTGCTTCCCACCTGTTCAGCAGCCCCTGCTATCCCTTCACACTTCGGCTACTTCCCAGGGTGAGCAAGGTGCTAAAATGGGACCTGCTAAGATCTGATAGGGACTGAGAGTGTGTTGGCCAAACTCAGGTCTCAAGAAATCGGCTGGTGGATGAAGATGCTACAGATCTTTAACCTGTAGTCTAGAGAGTGGGTTTAAAGCCCTTGTGAGCTCTGTGTCACTGGTGTGCCTGGAGGTAACTGAAGAACGGTCACGGGAAGGAAGGAGGATTGAAGTTATCAGGTTGTGAAGGGGACATTTGGGCATGAGCTGGAAGGGATGGGGCCTCCCTGCATGGGGGAGAGGTGGAGGGCCATAGGAGATGGTCTGACAAAGTGTAAGTGATGTTGTTCCTGTGAGAAGGGGCAGCAACCATGCTTCCTGAAGACCCTTGTCAGTAGCCTCGTGGTCCCTCTCCAGCTGCTTTCAGCATTGCCTTGTGGTTATTCTCCGTGCCTCTCCTAGTAGAAATTAAAATCTCTTTCTCGTCCCTAGGCAAAGCCAGCTGCCAGACTCCCCACCAGACTCTGGGTCGGAACCATGTTCTCCACCACAGCTCCAAGGTAGGTCACATGAATTCAACCTCTCCCAGACTTGTAGGAAGGTCTCTAGTTCCTCTTCCTTCTCCTTATCATCTTGTCTGTTTACTTCTTGCAGCCCCTTGGTATGACACTACGTGGCCTGGTGGGCTGCAGGCTCCGCTTCCATGTACATCTGCTGTGGCACCCAGCAGGCTTCCCTGCAGGTTCATGGAGACCTACTCTGACCCCAATGCCAGTGGGCATCCCTGCAATATCCCCCAAGGCTACTGCCTGAAAACAGAAAATGCTGTGAATCCTTGGAATCATCCTACATCTTCCAGCTGTTTGGGTTTTAATTATTCATGCTTTCAACCAAATGCATCTCAGATTTCTGGGTAAATGATAAAGCTTTTATGCAGAGGATGAGACAGATAAAAAGAAAACAAACTGATAAAAGACATGGTTTAAGACTGGTGTAAAATGCCCGTGGGTGTAGGGTTTTCCACAGGATGGCAGTGTTTCAATATTTTTGAGGCATTAGGTGTTGAGGGTTCTTTAAACCGCTTGACTGAAGTTGAGATTGGAAGTAGGAATGGATTTCAATTTTTAAAACGTTAGAAGGTTGAAGAGGGATCAACAGGTGCTTCATAACTGGATTATAAAAATAGTCGAGTGTTTTGCAGGGATTTGTCCATGAGGATCTTGTAAGTGTTCTGACAAGTGGCATAAGAGGAAAAAAAAAGTCATATCTATGTAAGCAAGTGAAATGGTATTCATTTACCATCTGCCATATTCTCCCACCAGCATGTTGTGGATGCTTAATTATTTAAAATACACTGGCTAGTCCAAGCATCCAGCCATGATACCTAGTAAGAATGAATTGACTGATGCCTGCCAGAGACGGACCTCTCTGGTTATGGGGTGAGGAATGTGAATTCATCAGTGTCAGTCCTGGGCTTGCAGATGCTCTGTCTGCTGTACAGAGCTCAATTACATGTTTTGTGTGGTGTGAGGGAAGGAGACTGGGTCTGGGCTTCTCAGTGGAGCTATTTGTGTTCTTTCTTTGTTTTCCAGTAGAAGGTGCCAGTTAATCAAAATAATTTTGAATGATGAATACTATGAATTCTTTGGTTGTGGGAACTTAAGATACAAAATACTTCTTGACCAAATGTGGAATATTGAACAAACCCAGAAAAAGAATAACAATTAATTTGTTGGGCAGACTATTTTTTCTACTCATATTTGCACCTTAGTTTGGGTACCTACTGGGCCTGGAGTTTGGCTTGGTTTTTCTCCCATCCAGAAGGAGTGACCATCTGTCAGGATATTCTAGTTTACATTTTATAATATCAATCCTTTGGAATGAGGGGTTATTTCCCTTTGCACAAAGGAGCACTTTTTGAAATCCCACTTTCTGGGAATGGGGAAGACTGTTACCCAGCAGTTGCCCCTTGAGATCTCTTCCTTAACACATTACTTTAACTGTTACTACTGTTTTCTGTGTAAGAAGGAAAGTGAGTTCACACTCAGTGCAGCACAATTATTCAAGATAAAGCTGTGATTTTAATGCAAATGTCAGGAAACAATAAAACCCTGCTGCTTATGCACTGTGTGAATTTTTAAAGCGATCAACTTCTCTATTCATATGAAACAAAAAATTAAACAAATTTATGTTTTGGAAGGAAAAATTACATAATTCATTTGTAAAAAGCCAACAACAATCTCCCCCTGGCAAATCAGAATCTGGGTGACAATACAGTTAGAATGAGATACCTGGGTGTTCTTTATGGGTTTGGGTTAGGGTTAGGGTTAGGGCACGGGCACGGGTTAGGGTTAGGGTTAGGGCTAATATCTGTATTTAATCTTATAAATGAGTAATGCAAGGTGTGCTTTTAAAAAAGTATTTCTGCAGCGTCAGGCAGAAAAAGGAAGCTCTCACAATTACTGGGAGATGCCATTGATTCTTCAGTACGGGCTCAGTACTCCAGACAAGGTAAGCAACTGTGTGAAGATGACATTTAACGTTTCATAGACAAAGAAATATTTTAAGAGCATAGCTCTTGCTGGCTCTGAAAAGGTAGAGGTATTGACAGTCTATGCTCCACTACCAGGTTTGGAGGAATTTATGTTTTCAGTACTTTTGAAAATGAGGACCTATTTATATTTGGCAAAGAGAGAAGTAGCATTAGAGGTTCATGTTTCCCGAGGAGACTCTGGACAAAATATTCTTTCCTTCTCCATGTGTGAGCCTGTGGTACACAGATGATACCACACTCTGCTGACTTGGCTTGGCGCTAAATTGACTGGGCAAAGAAACCGTCTTGGGTCAGCTTAACAGGGAATTAATGTGGTGGATGAGAAAACAGATTGCAGTTTCCCTTTATCATCTCAACTCCGTATTTTTTTCTACAAAGTGTATCCATGTGCAAGCTTGGTAAAAGCTGTGTCTTCTTTCCCACCCCTTCCCCAAATTGATTTGATTCATTGTTTTATCAAGATAAAAATGCTAAGCTTATACCAATTGATAGAATAAAGCTTATCAGGCATGTACAGAAATGGACCAGCTTCTGTGACGTGCAAGGCTTTCTGTGAACGAACAGTTTGTAATGAACAGTTTACCTGAGGAATTTCACCCTTGTCTGTTAGTGGAAAATCTGAGAGTTGCTTGTTATTTATTCAGAGTAAGTTATTTTTCAGCATTAAATCAATCACTTAGAGCAATTTTAATTAGTATCACCTAGATTTAGTAGGTTACTTTTCCTTTGGTGTCTTATTTGATCAGTGTTTCTTGATTGTGAGGAGTCCACTGCTGGAAAGAGAAAAGAAGCAGACACTTCTGTATCTAACATTGCTATTGCTGTTTTTAATTCTTAAAGACACGGATTTGAAATACGCTTTCCTTGGGAGTCACTGTTAATAAAATCTCACTGACACAGGTGCTATTGGAAAAAGAACACAGCCATTGGTAGAAGTGGCATAGGGATCGTTTAGAAATGAGGTGTGAATTTCTTGACTGTGGGTTTGGGTTTTTTTAATATAGATTTTCACTCTGCTGTATGTCAGAAGTGGAAAATCGCAAATGAAGCTTGGGCCTGAAATGATTCTGTAGACTGTCTTACTGTGCTGCCACTGGCTGTACAGAGATCTTGGCTTATGTGCTTAGTGACATATTTTCTCCTGTCCTTACTGCACTCCATTTGTCTGTCTCTCTTATCACATTCTCCTCTGTCTTCATAAAGTGTATAAAGTCTCAGAGGGTTATGGTTGACCCTGTGTATCTCAGAATGCTATAACATATAGTCATTAATCAGTCAACCAGATGTAGTGGTGAATGTGCTTGCTATTGGAAAACTGTTCCTTCTGCTCTGGGACAAAGTACCTATTGCAGTGCGATGAAGTATATTCAGTTTAAACCTGTAGTAGAGAGAATGGGAAACGTGTAATTATTTTGCTTAATTGCTTCTTGAAGTGTTGCAGATTTACAGTAAAATTCTTAGCTTGCTTGCTTGCCTTTTTTTTAAAAAAAAAAAATCCAAAGAAAACCATCCTTTTGGAGAGAATAAAAATAGGAAATGCTACTTGTGTAACATTTTGCAAATCAAGAAAGCTGAAGAATTTATTTTCTAGGGCAAGCGAATATAGCGCAATCTTTTGGAATAACTGCAAAGGACAATCAGATTTAAATATGTATGCAATATATTTGTGCTTTATATGTATGTATATATATGTAAATATATTTATAAAGATATTTATGCAGGATTTTTTGCTAGTCACAAAAGTAATAACTGAATTGTCACTATCTCTCTACAGCAACTGTTAAGGACTGCGTTGCTGAAATGCAAGAATACGACAGTGATGGACAGAATGCAGCTTTGGAAAGTTGCTGTCAAGCTCTAACATGGCAACCGTACCAAACTTCTCAGTGGAACAGTTTATTTAACTCTAATTATGAAAAACTGTAAGCACTGATGTTTGCACTTGGAAAAAGTGGTTTCTTGGGTGTTTTTTTTTGCTGGTGTTGTAGTTCTGTAGGCATAAGTGATACATTTGGGATCCCTTGTTCTTACTGAAAGTAAGGCTGGAGAAGGAGGTATAGCAGGCATGATGGAATATGAACCTGCAGATGTATCAGATAAGGAGAACATAAAACACTGGTTGAAACTTATGCTAGGTTTTCTGATTTCCCTTCAGGGATTTAGGTGCAAAAGAGAAATGAGTTTAACTTAAAATATGTTAACTTCTGTTTATTTTGTCAAACACATTGAGGTGAGTAATTACTGAGCATGTGGGACCTTTCCTGGTAATGGCATCAAATGTTAAAAAAAAATGGAAATAGAAGAAACCTATGTTACTTCTGGGCTCCCATAACCTAAGTCTTAACAGCTATAGACATGTACGTATGATGTACAACTGTTTAGTCACAGATTTAGAGTTTTCCTGTATAAATCAGAAGTTTAAATAATTTTTTTTGGCCACATGATCTGGGAAAGGTAATTCCATGTTCATTTTACATCCCTGATTTTCTCCATTCTAGTATTTAGTGAATGCCTCCTTTCAAGAAAAACCCTTGCGTAGCATCTGGTCAGTTCTCCAGGGTAGGTGCAGGCAATTTGTCACTGTCTCCACAGGAGTTCAATAGCACAGTAAATGTTACTGTTCTTCTAGCCCAACCTGCTAAAAGCTCTCACAGGAGTTTGGAGTGTATCAGTGCCATTGCTGGATGCTGACATTCCCTGTTTGTGCAGAGCGTGATGGGGCAGTGCACATCTCACTGTGCCCCACAATTCTCCTAAGGCACTGACCTGACAAGAGGGCAGGCAGCTCAGTGTCCACACCTTTCTGCTCCTTGGGAGCAGGATGGGCCAAGAAGCCTCCGGCTGTGTTTGCGATGGGAATTGTCAATAAATGGAAGTGGCTTTCAACTCATGTTACGCTTTCAGTCAATGAATGCTTTAGAGCTGGGAGCCGACTGTGGGAGATTGCTCTCCTGCCACTACCCAATTACTTGTTGGTTCCTATATGCTTAAAATTGAAGTTCCAGACTTACATTTCTTGGTGACTTGTGTCAACAATGTGATGCTGAGCATTAAAACATCTAAAAAGATGTACTGTTGCCATTACTGTGGAAGGAGATTGAGATACTATATGCAGAGGAGGTCAGTGTCACTTTTAATGAGGTCAATGGCAGTGCCTTTGTTCCAAGGTCCGCTGTAATTACGGCACAGTGCACAGATTTTTCTGAGTAGTTGTCCTGTGTTCTGTCAGCCTCAAGAGACGTGTGCTTATTGGTGCTCAGTGTAGATGGATTGGTCCTCTACCTCGAAATAGCTGTGCCCACTACAAGGGCATTTCTCAGGTTAACTATTATTTTCCATTTTATTCATCCAGTATTTCAACCTTTTGATTATTTCGTTTTCACAACAAAATGCTGTTAGCTGAGGTAGTTTCATTAGTAAATGTTACTCTACCATTAATCAAGTGACTGCTTGGCACTTTCTTAGCCCCTTGCCCCATTACTGTTGTGATTCTCAGTGGAAAGAGGAATTCCAAGTGTATTTCTAGTAGGGAAAAGACAGGGATATCCTTTGCTTGTGTGTCAATGATATCCCTTGCTACCTAAAAGTTCTTACAAGTTTTAATGTACAGCTGGGTAAGACTGACCATTCTTTGTGTGATCAGATCAAAATACGTATTTGGTCTTAACTACCGTAAATGGCTTACTGAGAAAATGATAAACATGAAATTCCTCTGTGGGAGTCCTTGTTCCAAACAATTCAACTTGGAGAAATGGAAAATTGTACTTTTGCTTCTCAATCTGTTTGCCTGTGTGTAAGCAAATATTCTGAAATTGCTTTAAGAATATCAGCTAATGAACTTGCTGCACTTCTAAATCTGAAAAATTACTCCTTTCC